TATGTATATATCTTGACTCAGGTATGCCCAAGCGATTGTTGTTACTTGTAGATTTTAATGCTCTTGATACACTATGTATTTAGTTAGTTTTTGGCGAACTTGCAGTTGGGAAAAATGCCCATAAGGAGGGCTGCAGAAAAAAGTTTTTCAGGACGTCACCAACCAAAGTGGATGAATTCTCACCATCGCTTGGATGGTAGTTTTCTTTAACAGGTGCATTGGGCGTGAACTTCAAGTTTTCTTAAAAGTTACTTTAAAAAAGCCAAGCTTTTCTGTCAGTTGCTTAGCTTAAGCATTTATCCTCTAGTTATAGCTTCATTTTTGTGCCTTTCTTCATTTGTCGTTGCTGGCCTGTGAAACTCGGTTTTGGTACATTCCGTTACGGATTTTTTTTTTTTTTTTTTTCATCGCTGTCTTATATCATATAGATCGAAATTTAAAGCATTTTTGATACTTTGGAAAATATTACCATTCCTCTGCAATACTTGCCGTCAGTATAGCACATAAGGTTTGGTAAAGCTTGATTTAGACGGTACGGAGCTGAAATCGTTTTGACGATTTTTCATACGGAGGAGTAACTCATCGGACTTTGATGAAATTTTTCCTGTAGGATTATTGCAGTCATCAAGAACTTTCTGAGTCAGGTAAAATTAAACAGAAAACAGAACGAGAAAGTCAGCTTGAATGATTGTTGCCGAGATTTTCCACTAAAAGTAATTTTTGTAAACTGCAAGTGCTTTATTGTCCTGCCAATGAGTTGGTAGAGGATCGAGTAGGAAAAACAGAAGAGCAATTTTGACAGTAGTTTTTCAATCTGTACTTACGCCTTGTTCCTCTATTTGTCGTTAAAATGTAATATAAATGCCCTGAAATAGCATAGTACGGTCCTTTTTGAGCGCTCTCCACTTTTTAAGCGAGTATTTTATCACTCTACCTCCACTCCCGTTCTCGTGTCAGATCATCATTACTATTCGCTCCGCTAGTTTGTCTGATCTTTTTCAATCAAAAAAATTTTAGAAGTGTTTGATTGCTACGGTTTTTGCTCAAGCAGCAAGCAAAAGGGCTTTGCAAGTCGAGAACTGTATCGCCTACATTTGGGAACCCCCTTAGGCGGCTGTTAAGCATCGAGCAAATAGCTGCTTCAGCTTCTCTTTGGTCCCCAGAAAATGCTCATTTTTTTGTTTTTTGGATTCTAGCAGTTTTTGTACTAACGCTATCAAAACTTATCTTTAACCAAGAAACCAGATTTTGCTGGCCCGAACAAGATCTCACCGACTTCCGTTGACTACCGTTGCTTGGATATTCTCAATCTTACGGTGTCTGAACTGAATGAGTAGCGTGAATTACTATGAGTGTAGGCATAAGATTCTTTGACTTTGTGGTGCTTTTAACTGTTAGACGAGTAATTACGGTCTTGAGTAAATCGTTTATCAGCTTCCTGACAATGTAACTTACAGAAAAACATTTTTAGTTCCAGCCATAATGGTACAAGAGGCTGTAGCAGATATTGCTGTGGTTGGGTTGGCTGTAATGGGCCAGAACCTGATACTAAATATGAATGATAACGGATTCGTGGTAGGTTTTGTTTTGTTTCATTATAGTAGAAATTTTATGAAATTGACGTTGGCAAGAATTAATATCAAAAAGTAATTTTTTGGCAATTATAATCTAACTTTGTTGAGGTATGTGCGTTCAACAGAACTGTATCTAAAGTTGACGATTTTCTCGCGAACGAAGCAAAAGGAACCAAGATTGTTGGCGCTCATTCGTTCGAAGAAATGGCGAGGTAGTTAGTCGTCTGTTAACTTCTCAGTAAAATTCCCTTTTATTAGGATACCTCTAACAACTTTTAATATTAAAAATGCAGCTAATGAGTTTGGCAGCTGGATCTGGTATTTTTAGTCTTTCTTAAAATGTCGTGGTCGTTGTAATGGGGAAAAGTTTTTTTCATGGCCAGGTGTGAAGACTATGGAATCATTGCACTTCTAGACTTTAATTCTTTTAGGATTTAGAATTATTTCATTAAGGAATTTTAGTTTGACAACATAAGAATACAGTTGTCTTTCAGGTTTATCACCTCATTTTCATTTTTGACATGTATGCTGACCTGAGTAAAGTTTTGAAGGAGCAGGGGCGGTCATAAACGGAACCGAGCAGCAATTTAGAGCAACATTTATAAATGTGCAAGTGTTCTGTAGGCAGTATTTTGTAGCAAATAATTATTATTTTTTTCATTAGACTTTTGTTAGTATTATTTATGTTGAAACATATTCAGCTCAAATTTGTTATTGAGAAACAGTA